CCCCCCCTGTAACGAGCAAGCAGCAGCAGCTAAACAGGCGGGCGGCCGAGCGGCCGGGCGGGGCAGGCGGCCTGCAGCCGGCTGACTGCCACAGGACTGCCAGCTCGGCCCGCCCGCAACCGTCCGCGAGCACAGAGAACGAGGAGAAGGGCGAGGGCGAGGGCAACGGGCGAGTCGACTTCTTCCTCACCTCTCTCTTTCGCCTCTCGCCCCCCGGTACGTCGGCGGTGGCGGCGGCGACGACGACACGCCCCAACTGCCCCGCCCCGCCGCACCTCTCCGAGCCCGCACGCGCAGGGTCACCAAAGAGCAACCAGCCAGCTGAATGAATCGAGTTGTCCAGAGCGGAAAAATTTTCCTCCAAAAATACGAAAAAGAAGTCAGCTGAAATATTTCTCCGGATTAACATGTTTGAAGAGGGACATTTACCAATTGCCGCGTATGTCAAAACTGTCAACCAGTAACTGAACATTCGACAAAGGTAACGTTTAGGGCACCCGGTGGCGCGAGGGGCTTCAATGAATGACACCCTGGCCCTGGAACGCCCTGGAGGCATCCTGGAACATGTGCCTGAATTCCCCGAGTCTGACGCATCACACAGGACTCCGAGAAGGACGTCTCCGACAAGGGGAAGCGCACGTTCGCAGGGAGCAGCAGGTCAGGACCGGTCGGAGTAAGCGAACACACCCCCCCCCCCTCCCTTCCCCAGGGCCGCAGCAGGGAGGCTGAGGTGTCGCAGCGCGGTCTCCAGAAAATAAAGTCACTTTTGGGTATGACGGGAAATGCGTCCCGAGTTCGGTGGTGCTGGTATAAGCCGTGTCCTCGTGCATCCAGAAACCTGTGTTTTTGATCCTCTGGTTCTAGAAAACATCAAGGTTGTGGTAGACCCGCCCGCCCGCCTCGCCCGCCGCGCAGGCGTGCGGGCGAGTTGCCTACTCCCGAGGCGCTGCATGGTGCGTGTGGAGCCGTCAGGGCCGTCAGTATGCCCGGGAGGCTCCCGTACCGTACAGCACGTATCTGATGAACTGCCTCCTCCCCCCCCCCTTTTCCACCTTTCTGTGCAATTGTGTTACCAAAAACTAGGATGTTTTATTTTATTTTCTTCACATGGAAATTGTTGTAGTTGTTTCATTTTTGTTTTGTTTCTCCACCTGCTCTTCAGCGCACTAGTCTTGGCCGTCACCGTCGTGGTCAGTCCTTGTCTAAGGGTCAGACGCCCCGTGACGTAGCGTTGCTGTAAAAGGCGGATGAATCCTGCTGCTGCCGAAACTCGATGAGGACGATGAGGTAGGAGACGACCATGAGACCCACCGACGACACCGTCTGTCTGCTGAGGTACCAGTACCCGGCGACGCACACTGGCGTCAACTTGTGCGACAGCGCTTCTCGGGACACCTGGGGGGGCAGAGCGTGGGTTTGGCTTGTCACGGAGTTTGAGAGTTCGTCGCAAAAATCAAACAATAGAGTTTTGTTTGCGTGCTCCTCTAACTTTCTCGATCTGCTGCTCCTCACCTCTCGGGCGAACGCATAGTCGCTGACAGAGTCGGGCTCGATGAGCTCGAACGCTCTGGCAAACTTGTTGACCTGCAACACAGGCGCGGAAAGGTCGGAAATACAGTAACGGCTAATGAGGACACGAAAACTTTCCAGTGAGAAGCAGAGATATCGAAACAATACAGATCCCTGAAAAGTGATTTTGATGCCTAACAGGGGAATTCAGAGTTGGTCCGGGGGTTGATTATGGTCGTTCCGGGGAAGTCGTGTAATATCATTTTACGTTTTTTCGGAAGATGGTTAATTATTGTCTTGCGTTCTCACCGCGATCACGGCGCCGTCCGCGGCGGAGCACATGGCGACGAGGAGGAAGCCGAGGTCCGAGGACGCGAGCGTGAGGCTGGCGATGAGCTCGGTCGGCGCGCCCACCATGACGCAGTTGACGACGTAGTACAGGCTGAGCACGGCGTTGACCATCATGAGGGCCACGCCCAGCGTCACCGTGGCGGGCGCGAGCATGACGCCCTGCAGCAGGTCGCGCAGCGCCAGCCACGCGCGCCGGTGCCGGAGCAGGGTCGCGGGGCGCAGCCGTCGCGAGGCCGCGTCCTGGACAATAAAGCACGTCGTCAGCTCAGTCCAGATGGCAAGGGGTCCTTTACTACAAATTCAAGCGTTCATGACGAGGGGGAAACGACAAAGGTAATCCGGCTGACAGCCGTTAGGTAATCCGGCAGGTGTAATCCGAGGAAATTCGAAGTAATCCGGGGGTAATCCGAAGAAATTTTAGGGTAATCCAGTAATCCAGGGTAATCCCAAAGGAAAATTAACGTAATCCGGAGGATACTCCAGAGGTAATCCGGGTAATCCGTAATCCAGCTGATACAAAGTTAAACAGTCGTTTCCCCCTTGGTTCGTGATCTTTTTCCCCTCATTTTTTTTTCTGGTCTTTTCTCATTATTTTCTGTGTTTCTCTCATTTGTTCTGACTTTTCTAATTTGTAATTTCTTTTCTGATTTTTTAAAAAGTGTAGTACCCCTTGCCAACACTTTGTCGTGTAGCCAGTCTGCAGGGGCCGCCGCGATGATGTTGTTATACCTGGGCGAATCTCAGCGCGAGCAGCTCGGCCATGTCCTCGAGCACGTTGTACGCGATGCTGACGGCCGCGGCGTACATGAGCAGGAGGACGTGGGACACCAAGTGGCCGGGCAACCGGGCGTGTCGCAGGACTGGCGACGAGTTGCGTATAGTTAGTTTTGTAGACAATGCATGATGGCAGGGTGCACCCGGAAGGGTTTTTGGACGGATCGATTAGTTTCGAGAATTGAAACGATCATCGTCTGTCAAAAATCGACGCTTCTCCGGCGTCTCTTATCTATGGCCCATCGCCATCATCGTCCCGGGTTTTCTTTGGTCGACGGCAAAAAGAAGTTGTTTGTTATAGCGTGCGTATGGTACGTGTTGAATTTGATGTTTACCAGGGTGGTCGATGTCGAAAGGTGCTAGGCTCAGGTGCCAGGACAGGGTGGTGACGGGCGCCACCACGACCACGGCGATGAGCCAGAACCACGCCCGGACCAGGGTGCGTCGACGCGGCCAACGATCGGCGCCCAGGACGTCGTCGTCCACGGAGCCCTGCAACATCATCGTCAGGCGCAGTGATGCGTGGTCGATGACAAACGCGGTGCAAGGGTGGAAATCGCAAACTAAAAGGTGGGCTGACAGCAGCGCGGGTATCCGCGGGTTATTCGCCCAGGAATACCTCGAATCAGCTCCAGGATTACCCCCCCCCCCCCGCCTTCTCACCACTAATGTCCGGGCCAGGGCGAACACCTCCTTGTAGCGGTGGGCCTCGCACCAGAGGACCGCCATCAGCGCGACGTTGGCCGTGTGCGTGAGCCCCAGGGCGGCGGGCAGGTCGGCGGAGGAGCCGAAGGGGTTGCTGGAGGTCACCACCCCGAGGCCGTGGTGCCAGGTCCCGACCACGGACACGAGCGTGCCGCTGTGCAGGAACAGGACCCACAGCAGCGTGGACCGCAGCGGGTGGAAGCTCAGGCGCGGCCCTGCAAACGATACACCGTTTCGATACATCGAAACAATCTAAGATACATCAGAAATATTTGTTTCATTTTAGGACGATTTTCAGAGAATCGCGACGGGCCACGAAAATCGCCAATCCTCCGATATATCGATATCGATCTGATATCGACTTCATCGTGTTTCACTAAACTCACATCTTCCGATGGTCGTCGGCACCACGCCGAAGACGATGGCGGTGCGGTACAGGGGCTTGAGGGGCTCGAACAGCCTGCGCGTCCGGGCGTCCAGGTCGCCGCCGACGGTGTCGAGCCTCATCGTCGTCGCGGACGTCATCGGGGTGGACGAACGAGGCCGCCGTCGAGCGCGCGGTCTCCCCCCCTGCCGTCACAACGGCCGCTCTGCCCCGCCCTATACCTGTCCCGGAGACGCCGCCCCAGCGTTTGAGTGGCGCGAGTATGCGTCGCCTCCTCTTCGCCACCCTCCTCGCGTGAGCCGAGTGCGTGCGTTGTGAAGTATACCGAGGGGCATCATCAATGCCCGAGGGACTTGCCGTTAGTGCTGCTGTCCAAAGCCCACCCTCCCCGTCACAGCGACTGGTGTCCCTCTGACCCTATGGTGTGATCTAGACAGGCGCGGGCGATCAGTGTTCCCGGTAGTTTGTGTAAATTGACCGTAACCCGACAACCCCCCCCCCCCTTCACACCGGCGTACGATCATTGTAACTATCAAAGCGTCATAAGAACATCGATCTCTCTTTTTCCGACGTCGTTACGATATCGTTTTATACTCCGACTTCGTTATTCAAAAGGCATATCACTAAGAGACTATAACTGACCATTCCTCCAAATCACAGGAATAAGGAACAAGAGACGATCCACGAGGCTATGCGGCTATGGTTCCGGAGCAACACCCTCCTTTTGGCGGCGGGGCGGGCCAAAGGCCACACCAACCCCCCGCCTCGGCCTCCCACTAGGTCGCGGGTCGGCAGACGTGAGGACGTGACCCACGCAGTTCCGAAGGGATGATGATAGGCGGGATCTGCGTCTCGTCTCCGCGTGTGTCCTATAGCGGTTCCAGTACATTAAGGGGGGAGGCAGGGGCGTGGAGGTAGAGGGGGGGG